AAGGCTCTTGGCTCTTTCAAAGGAAGAGTACCCAGCCACTGGTACAGATATGTGGACGACACCTGGGTCAAAATCAAGACACAAGAAGTGGAATCCTTCACTGCGCACATTAACGCTGTGGATAAAAACATCAAGGCATCAAGTCACCTGCGTTACCTGCCAGGTAATCAAAGAACAGCAGTTTCTCACCCAGAGCTCCCTGACAGATGTCGGTCCTCGAGGCCCCGGATACAATGAACTCTGGGTCAGAGGTCAGCTCCTGCACATAAGCAACAGTCATCATCAGCTGCCTGACATGCACCAACACTGCTGTACAAATAAAGACTACTTGATTGATTGATTGATTGATTGATTGATTGATGGTGGAGAAAACTGAGCAAAAGGGTTTTTAACAGCCAGCTCTCTGAGGTCACTCTTCCTGTGTGTGAGGTCATCGTGCTTCCTGTGTGCACCTGAAACAGCGTTTTCATCACACGGCCGCCAACTCGTTCCGTGGTGATCAATAATCACCAGACGGACGCGGCTCTGTGACAGTTCAATCTCACTGATCAAAGTGAAAGCTCGTGATCAAGAAACAGGGTCAGCTCACCTGAGGAGCTCTCCTTCAGGCACTTTAATCACACCTGTGATCAGCTGATCTCCGAGTGGTCTGAGAGGTGTGTGATGTCACGGCTGATTATCAGCTCTGAGGAAGCAGGCTGAGCAAAAACAGATGATTGCTATCAAACCAGACTCCATGCAAAAAACATCTAATTTAAGCAGCGGCTCTCAGGTGAGACTCACCTGAGAGCCGAGCAGAGCCACAGGTAGCTCGGCTGCTCTCAGGTCAGTTTCATTGACCAGATAAAAGTGATCACTCACTCATGCTCAGTCTGATCATCAATCAAGCTGCCAATCAACCCTGACAGCGGCCCGTTTGATCAGCGTGTTTCAGGTAACGCAGGTGCGACAGGTGCGGGATTGGAGCGGGTACTGACCGTGGGTCTCTTCCAGGACACGCCGCGGACCTTGGAGGAGTTCGGGTGATAATTTCAACAGGTGAGTCAACGGTGCAGGTGTTGTGACCAGTTTGTGTATCAGGCTGTAAACATGTTAGCATGAGTCTGTGGGCACTGACTCACTGCAGTTCCTCTGACATCCAGCAGAGGCAGAGTGCTGATTGGGTAACAGCCACAAACAGAAAACAAACACAAAAACTTTTCTTCAGATTTTATTTGGACTGTTTCAGAGTCAGCGACCGCAGCATCAGCTTCCTGTCCTTTGCACGGTAACCATGGTATCTGTTATAACTGAGACACAGCAGCCAATCCAACGTGTTTATTTTACTTGCAAGGAAACAAAATCATTCACAGTGAACGTGTTGGCGATGCTCGCTGGAGCCTCTTTAGACTTTTTGCCAACATTATCCTCCAACACAAACGTGCACGTTAAACTGTTCAGCTACTGCATGATGCTAACGCTGCTTTGGATACGATGCCTTCAGCTTACCAAAGACAGTGCTGCCTAAATCATTTTCCCAGCATGCTCCTGGAGTGGCAGCTGTCAGTTGATGGTGAGGCACAGCCACTACAGAAGGAGATGAGGTCAGTGATGATGTCATGTATGTCAGCCAATAAGAGAGGGACTGCACTGCTTAGGTGTGGTTTACCTGCTGCAGGTCTAGCTGGATCCAGAGTCCTGAACATCCCTGAAGTGGGAAATAAGAAAACATTTAAAACGTTACGTACAAGCACAACCACAGACAGCTGAGGACACTGGGAACAGTGGGAACACTGAGTGGGAACAGTTCGAATACTGGGAATAGTGTGAGTAGTGGGAATACTAGGAGCGGTGGGAACTCACTGAAGAGCATCTCCAGACGGATCAAGCAGCCGATGAAACGGTCGAAGTCGATGGCGTAGCTTCTGTCGGTGTAGCGAGCAACAATCTCTTGGATCACTGTGCTGTTCAGCTGGAACCCTGAAACACAAGAGGAGGAGCCACCAGGTGAGACACGCATGCCAGGTAGACCTGTCCAGGAGCTCTGTTTTCCACCTGAGAGGGCCAATCATGGATACGTCTCCTGCTGTAGCTCCTCCCACAGCAGTAGATGTCAGCTTTGAAGGAGAGTTTGTGGAAGTGCGTGGAGTGGGCTGAAAGGGGCCGTCGGTTGGCCCCGCCCACTCCTACTAGGAGTCTTACCGGCTACAGCCAGAGCCGCTCTCATCTCGTGGCTGCTCATCGTGCCAGACCCGTCCGAGTCGTGACTCTTAAAGATCTCCTGCACACGGCAGCAGCGAGCAGTGAGGTCATCGCCATGCCGACTCTGACAGAAGCTGTAACAGTGCTCACACACAGGCAAGAACTCACCAGGTACGTCTGCATCTTCACCCAGCAGGCCCAGTCTGGAGCTGCCGTCAGTCTGAGGTCAGTTCAGGAACTGCACACCTGATCACCTGACGCCACACAGGTGAGTCACACGCATCATCGATAGTTGGCTCACACTCTGTAACTGCTCAGTCAGTTCGATCACTCATTGATCACGCATCAGTTTTCTGCTGATGGGCTGTAAACTGCGTGGATGTTAGAAAATTCTGGAAGTTTTCTGTGTTTTTTGTAGTTTCCAGTGGAGGCGTGTCCTAAAACTCTATCAAACACACGTTAGCATGTGATACTGTCTGCGTGTCATGATTTCGTATGAAGGATACATCCAGCAGGCTGATGATGTCACAGCAGGTTTGCAGGCTGAAGCCATCGGTTATAATGTCCAACCCTGAAATCAGAGCAGAGCACAACCATCAGCGGGACTTTCCTGTGGGCCCAATCCGGTGAAACGTTAAACTCTTCTTACTCCGCTTTGTCCAAAATCTGCTGGAGCTCAAAGGCGGAGATCTCCGAGTCCTGGAAAATATGAAAACATGTTTGTTGTGGACAGGAAGTGGAGCCGTGTAAGAACTGTGACATAAAAACTGCTGTTACGTTTCCACAGATCTGCATGAAGAGGTGTTTGAGGTGAGGGTCCACGTCCTTGTGCCTGATGTCGGGCTGGAAGGAGAACACGCTGCATGTTAATGAATGAAGCTCAGACGTCTCGTTCCTAAAACGTGAAGTGTGATTACAGCGGATCATGCACCTCCTGGAGGTCGGCGTCCTCCTCCATGGGGCTGAAACAGGAGAGCAGATGTCAGACTGTGTAGCGGTTATGCAGCGTAACCCTGTCACCCTGAAGTCGGGACCTGGTGTAGGCTTCCTTCTCCGTGAACACCCTCAGTACGAAGCTTCCTTTGCGGTGCGGTTCGAAGGTGGACGGGACGATGGCGTACTCTCCGGGTGGCAATTTGAAGCGATCGCATACCTCCCTCAGGTTGATGAAGGCGTGACTGCGAGCCACTGACTGGCCTCTCAGGAGGACGTCCGGGCCCAGGCGGACGTTAGAACGACCTTTATACGGACCGCTGAAGAATAAGAAGGTGAGACCTGGAGACGGAGGCATCTCTGAATTCTACCAAGGCATTTATTTGATTCAGGTTGTGGTTATTTTAAATGCACCTGTAGGCCGTTTGTTCTGCAGTCATCCATCCTCACAGGCAGCAAACAACAACAACAACAACAGCTGAGACTCGCCGTGCAAACGGCCAACTGCTAACTGCTGTACAGGGATGTGCTTCACCAATCAGCTGTTACTTAAACATGTAATCAGTAAAAGCTGATGAAATGAAACCCTCGTGTTTTTATCAAAGTGCGAGTGAGAAAGCCTCTGAGGCTCGAGAGTCGCCGATGAGGCTTCTGGCACACAGCTTCAGTTTGCTTTAAACTTCAGCCCTGAGTCGATAAACACACCCCTGCACTTTAGAAGAGGACTTCGTGTGTAAGTGCTCGTTCCAAAATCAGTGATCACATCTTTAGTCTTAGATGTGCTCCAGTGAAGCCTTTGTTGCTTGTCTAGGTTTGTGCAGCTCGCTGATGTTTGCTTAACTCTGCATCAACAAGTGTGTGTTACAGATAGCTCTTGGCTCTTTGTAACCTTATTTTCCTTATTGGTTTGGGGGACTTTGGGGCACTGAGCACATTTAACAGCATGCTCATTGTTCCCAGGTCCACATACAGCAGTGCTGCTCTACATCCTGTACAACCATCAATGCATTTGGCACAGGACTTGAACTTATCACCTGATTCACCCAAAGATGTACCTCAACTTCAAAACCTTCTTGCTTTGCATGATTACCTCACGAGTTATGAAACATTGTGCTTACTTTCAACATTTGAAAAGTCCAATTCAGTACGTAATATTACGAAGCAGAGACTCCCGTCTTATTAGTGCTCTTATCTGATAATGTGCAACCTAACCCGGTCCTGAGCTCAGACACCATCTGGATTTAAATCCTCACCTGAAGATTGTTCATCTTAGTGTGTGCAGTTTGTTAGATGGATATGGTCAGGGTTTGGGTTCGATCAACAGATGTGGATATTTAATTTCTGAAACGTGTCTAAGTATATATCTGATGACTATATTAGCATGACTGGATACAGTGTTTATCGTACCGGCTTACAGGCTTAAGAAAGGTGGCACTGTTGCTGCTTATGTTAAAGTTTGATGCCACAATGGTTCATCTGTTTGTTGTCCTTCTGCCTCTACAGGAGCGTTTCCTGTCCAGACTACAGTGAGCTTGGGTTAGCCGGTGACTCTAACTGGGATTGGCTCAAAGCTGTTTCATGATTTCAAATCTTTCTGTGATTCTATCAATCTTACCCAGCTGGTTCAAAGCCCTGAAAAGTCTACCTTGGTTATCCTGATTCTGACAAATGTTTCTCATAAATTCTCATCCTTGGGGGTCTTGTGACTTAAGTGTCCGCTGTGATGCTGCTGTTAATAGAAACACTGAGGTGCCCAAGTCCCAACAATGACTGGAGGAAAATAGGATTGATCCCTGGTGTAGGAGTAGCGTGGACATTTTTTAGGGATGTAAGTTGTGAATAAACATGCTCCATTAAAGAGATTTAGGAAAAAATGCCAGGTTCTCCCCAGAGCTGGCAGATATCATTCATGAGCGTAACCTTGGCCAAAGTTAGGAAAACAGGTTCTCCCACTGATTGGCTTCTTTCAGACAAATAAGAAACAAATGTATTTCCTCTATTAAGAAAGCTAAATCAGAAGACTATTTGTCACCACTGAGAACCTCCCTGGGAAAGTCTATGCCAGGGTGCTGGAAAGGAGAGTTTGTCCGCTAGTCGAACCTCGGATACAGGAGGAACAATGCGGTTTTCGTCCTGGTCGCGGAACACTGGACCAGCTCTTTATCCTCTCGAGGATACTTGAGGGTGCATGGGAGTTTGCCCAACCAGTCTACATGTGTTTTGTGGACTTGGAGAAGGCATTCGACCGTGTCCCTCGGGGTGTCCTGTGGGAGGTGTTGCGGGAATATGGGGTGTCTGGCCCATTGCTACGGGCCATTCGATCCCTATACAACCGTTGCAAGAGCTTGGTTCGCATTGCCGGCAATAAGTCGGACTCGTTCCCGGTGGGTGATGGGCTCGCCAGGGCTGCCCTTTGTCTCCGGTTCTGTTCATAATTTTTATGGACAGGATTTCTAGGCCAGCCAAGTGGCGGAGGGCTTTCGCTTTGGTGGCCTCAGAATCTCATCTCTGATTTTTGCGGATGATGTGGTTCTGTTGGCTTCATCGGGTGAGAGGCCTCCAGCTCGCACTGGAACGGTTCGCAGCCGAGTGTGAAGCAGCGGGAATGAGGATCAGCACCTCCAAATCTGAGGCCATGGTTCTCAGCCGGAAAAGGGTGGAGTGCCCACTCCGGGTCGGGGATGAGTTCCTGCCCCAAGTGGAGGAGTTCAAGTATCTCGGGGTCTTGTTCGCGAGTGATGGGAGAAGGGAGCCGGAGATCGACAGACGGATTGGGGCTGCAGCTGCAGTAATGCGGACGCTGCACCGGTCCGTCGTGGTGAAGAGGGAGCTGAGTGTAAAAGCGAAGCTCTCAATTTACCGGTCGATCTACGTCCCTACCCTCACCTATGGCCACGAGCTGTGGGTAGTGACCGAAAGAACGAGATCGCGGATACAAGCGGCAGAAATGAGCTTCCTCCGAAGGGTGGCTGGCCTCTCCCTTAGAGATAGGGTGAGAAGTTCGGCCATCCGGGAGGGGCTCAGAGTAGAGCAGCTGCTGCTCCACATCGAAAGGAGCCAGCTGAGGTGGTTCGGGCATCTGACAAGGATGCCCCCTGGGCGCCTCCTGGGTGAGGTGTTCCAGGCATGTCCCACCGGGAGGAGGCCCCGGGGCAGACCCAGGACACGCTGGAGAGATTATATCTCTCGGCTGGCCTGGGAACGCCTTGGTTTCCCCCGGATAAGCTGGAGGAGGTGGCTGGGGAGAGGGAGGTCTGGGCCTCTTTGCTTAGGCTGCTGCCCCCGCGACCCGGCCTCGGATAAAGCGGATGAAGATGGATGGATGGATGGAGAACATAAATAACCCACAGCAGTTGTGGAAAATCATTAAGTCTCTTTCAGTGAGCAGCAGCTCTAATGCTTTACCGGCCTATGTTTTTAAGGACTCTGTTCCTGTTTACGATAGGAAGGAGATTATGAACTGCTTTAACAAGCACTATATATCGTCTGTCTCTGTGTTTGACTCTGTAAAATCCAGCACAAACCCTCCAGCGTAAAATGGTAAATAGACTGATTCTTATATAGCGCTTTTCTACTCTCATTCACCCACTCACACAAGCTAAATTCACACTCTGATGAACGCATCGGAGGGCAACTTGGGGTTAGTATCTTGCCCAAGGATATTTGGCATGCAGACTGGGGAAGCCAAGGATCGAACCACCAACCTTCCAATTAGTAGCTGATCTGCTCTACCACCTGAGCCACAGCTACCTCATTAGATGACTGACTAGCATACATTGGTCAGCCATTTAACTTTGTTCCTTTCTCTGTGTGCGAGTAGTTAAAGCAGTTTTTGTACACCTATGATATTTTATCTGAATCATGTTTGAGGAAAAATCACAGAACTGTCACAGCTGCAGTGAAAGTGTCAGTGCCACAGGACTCTGTATTAGGTCCTCTTCTATTCATCATTTACATTGTGCCAGATGCAAACTTGCACTTCTGTGCTGATGACACAGTTATTTACAGCTGTGGTCCAACTGCTGTCCAAGCCTCTGACTCCTTGCAGAAAGTCCAGCACTCATTACTTAAACCTGTTCTCAATGCAGACAAAACAAAGCTCATGTTGTTTTCCCAATCAAGGAAGTTGGTTCACACGTATAAATATCCAGGTATCTTTAAATGGACCGATTCTTATATAGCGCTTTTCTTCTCTCCTGGAGTACTCAAAGCGCTCTATACAACAAGCCACATTCACACAAGCACTTCCTCTAAACTGAGATGCTTCCTAACTACATTCATACTCTATATTATGCTGCCCAAGGATACTTGGTATGCAGACTGGAGGAGCCAGGGATCAAACCAACAACCTTCTGATTAGTAGGTAACCTGCTGTACCTCTTGAGTTACAGCCACCCCGTCTTTATTGATGATTCGCTCACCTTTAAACTACATCTAGACAAACAAACTTTGATTTTCACAATAAGTTGTTTTTCTGTTAATACAAAGAAGCGACTTGTTGCTGCAACATTTCTACTGTTGCTGCATTATGGAGATATTCTACATATGAATGCTTCACAGGGCTCTAGAGTGCGACCAATTTGGTCGCAAATGCGACCAAATTTCTCCATGGTGCGACTAATAAAAAATACTTGGTTGCACCGGTGCAACCAAGTATTTTCTCGGAAAAAAAAAAAGTTTCAGCAACCCTGAAAGTCTCCGTGTGTTCAACAACAGACACACATTATGCCCATGTCTTGTTCTAAACCAATCAGAGATACTCAGAGGCGGGGACCTCTGTGATTGGCCGTGGTCCAGATATTCCTGCAGACCTACTTGTGTTTACGTTTGAAAGTGCGGGCAGATAGAGAAGGGTGAGTAGCCCAGGTCAGAAGTGTATGAAGTTGGTATTGAGAAAATATGAAAAGAACAATTGATAACTTTTTCGTTAAGTTAAGGCCTGATCAGTCCAAAATTCTGAGCCAGCGCTCTGACACGGAGCCATCAACCTCTGTTTTTGTCAAACACTGGTCCGGAGACGGCATCAGAAAATGAGCCACATACGATCGACTCCCAGCCGGAGTCCACTGAAAGTAAAAGTGAGAAAATGTATAAATTTCGAATCGAGTGGCTTGACCAGTTTCCCTGGCTAAGATACAGCCAAGCTGACAATATGATGCACTGCATTTATTGTCGCGAGTGTGGAAAGACCATGGCCGGCAACACGCATTTGTCACTGGTGCTAATACGTTTCGAATTGAAACGCTGAAAAAGCATACAGCATCGAGAAGACACATTATATGCCGCGATAAATGCTCTGCCAAAATGTCCCCGCTCCCCACTGCCTTTCAGCGGCAGGCAGGAGTAAACAGGTCATCG